AATGGTCATCAAACACCTTTAAGGTAATGGTCATCAAACATCTTTCTGGTAATGGTCATCAAACACCTTTAAGGTAATGGTCATCAAACATCTTCAAGGTAATGTTCATCAAACACCTTTAAGGTAATGGTCATCAAGCATCTTCAAGGTAATGTTCATCAAACATATTTATGGTAATGGTCATCAAGCATCTTTATCATAATGGTCATCAAACATATTTATGGTAATGGTCATCAAGCATCTTTATCATAATGGTCATCAAACTTCTTTATGGTAATGGTCATCAAACATCTTAATGGTAATGGTCATCAAACATCTTTAAGGTAATGGTCATCGAACATCTTCAAGGTAATGGTCATCAAACATCTTTATGGTAATGGTCATCAAACATCTTTAAGATAATGTTCATCAAACATCTTTATGGTAATGGTCATCAAACACCTTTAAGGTAATAGTCATCAAACATCTTTATGGTAATGTTCATCAAACATCTTTAAGGTAATGGTCATCAAACATCTTTATGGTAATGGTCCATGTGTAACAGAACAACATAAACTGTATAACCATGTGTAACAGAACAATATTAACCATATAACCATGTACAACAAGACAACATAAACCATATTACCATGTACAACAAGACAACATAAACTGTATAACCATGCATAACAGAACAACATAAACTGTATAACCATGTGCCACAGAACAACATAAGCCATATAACCATGTGCAACAGGACAACATAAACCTTATAACTGTGTACAACAGAATCACAGACATTATAATCATTCATAACAGAACTGTGTAAATCTTATAACCACCACAACAGGACCACATAAACCTTATAACCATGTTTTATCGGTTAAATGTGGTTTTGGTAAAAACACTATGGGTTTGTTCTCTAAACCCTGACATTCACTGTAACTTTATACTATCTACATTGTTTTTCCAAAGTTGTATAAAATGTGTGCTGATTTAATATTTTCATGAGAGAGATATTTAAAGTATGAATAATTGCTTGGATTTTTTTTGTCAAATTAAAACTTTTAGTGTATGAAATTCTTTTTAAAATTATGTTTTCCAGGATGGGGAAGAGTGCACTGTTGAAGTTCCAGTTGGCTGTACTGAAGTCAGGCCTTTAGTTGTAGTCGTTACCACGGCAGTCACTGTTATCGCTGTTTTATGGATAGTCTACAGAGTAATGGCTGTAAATAAGTCACATAAGAAAGATAATTAACTTTCAAAACTGTATATAATTGTACAGAAAGAGAATAAAGATATTCATATTTCAGTTTTGTAGCTATGTACTTTGGTGTTTTGGACTTTTTTTTTCTCTCTAAAATACACGTAATCTCAATTTTTATAATTTACTTTATTTCAGTGTTTAAATAATGAGACATGGCATGTAATTACATGTGGCGCCATCTGTAGCTGCATAAAGTATTTCAGATACTATGGGTGGTGTTATGTATTTATTATTAAACAGGTTATGTTTTTGTCTGTTACAACACTGTTTAAAGAATGGAGAGAAAATATTAGGTGAAGTCACTCACTCACTCTGTAAAAGGCCTAGGATACCCAACAATAATATAATTAATTGCAATATCTATGGAACTTTTTGTTTAAACCTTGTTAGTGTTACTATGTGTTGTTAGAGACCACGTAACAAAAAAGTCATTAACCCACAAACAATTTGGTGTCTAAATACTTTAGAAAAACCCGTTTAAAAAGATGGTGGGATTAGTGTAGTAATTCTAGGTTTAAAAGGAATATTTGAGTGGAATGTAGCCCCATCTGTTGGTCGATTATTTATTCACGTGTATTTTTTAAGGATTGGCATTTTAAAATATTTGTAATACGTTCTATTGACCATTTTCTTACGAAAACACTAATTTTTTAGTTGGTTTTTATTTCTCGGCGTCAAATTTTACCTAATAAAGATTTCACTATATGGGACCTCTACACGTTAGCTGGTTCATATTTATTTAATATAAGATTTAATTATTTATAAAACTTGAGCACCCAATTAATTGTCAAGTTGAGATTATAAAAAAGTTTATAGACTTTCATTCTGAAGGACACAAGGAGCCACTAAAAATAAAACATTACTGACTAATAAAGTAATTTAATTAGATCAAGCTGTTTTAGTCTTGTCTGTTAGTAGATTAATCTTAAGAATAATTAATCATTGAAACTTTTTTAATTTCCCTATCGTAAGTCAGAAGAAATCAATTTAAGGAGTAGCGTGTGTTGAAGACCGAGTATTCCACGGATATCTTTTTATTTGTGTTTCATGTACGAAAATGATGTTTAAATATCTCGAAGTTAGAGGGGTTAAGGACAACGAATGTGTCACAAAAATATTTTTTTTCGGGTCTCCTGGGGGGAAAGTGGTAATACTTACAACGCTAAAATCCAGGGCTCGATTCCCGCGGTAGACACGGCAGGTAGCCTAATGTGGCTTTGCTCTAAAACAAACATTTTCTTTTGAATTTAAAAAAAAAGTTCATCATGGGCGTTTATTTCTAAAGATTTTATAGATGTAGGAAAAAAAATGTTATTTATGAAAAATAATTTACCCTTGTTTGATATGGTTGTAATTCCATCTCATAATGTTGAAATCATAGAGGTAAACGTGACTTTCGTTTCTTATAGAGATGAAAATTGACTAATACTTTGATTGGAATGAATCTACTTTAAAAAGTTCGTTCAATCTCAAAACTTTGATTGGTAAGAAACTTGACTTGGGTTGTTTGAAATGTCACCTTCAAACTTTGATCGATAAGAAACTTTAATTGATTGGTTGTAAACTTTGATTGATAGGAAAAATAACTAACAACTTTAATTGGTAGGAAACTCGACTTTAACATTGATTAGTACGACCGACCTTGAGCATCTTCGCATCTGGATAGAAAACTTTTATGAGAGGTGCAAAACTAAAAAAAAACAATTAACAAACGTCACTAAAAGTAATTCCATGTACCATAAGTTCGTTTCAAAATGTAACATGTACAGATTTTTTATTTTGATAAATGATGTATGTCCATATATATAAATTAATAACATCAGTTTGTCTTTTTTTTAAATTCAAGAAAAGAGTGAAATAGCACACTTCAACAAGTGAATAGTTTTATATAAGGAACAATGTCCCAAGTTGTTTTTTACAGTCAGTCAACATTTGTCGATTGAAAGGGTAGGTTTGCTAGTAAGAGAGAAAAAAGATATTTGTTATCACGACTTATTTCATCTTTTGTTTGTTTTTTACATTGCCAAATATTATGGAGAATTATGCACGTTGTACGTTGCCTGTAGCTATCTGCACTCTGTTGACCAAGGGGAATGGAACCCCTGATTTTTGCTTTGTAAGTCCGGAAATTTACCGCTGGCCGACTTGAAGACGCGAAACTTGTATGAATCTCAATTTTAAATCTTTTATCGGTCGGAAACTTTGTTGATAAGCCCAAAACTACACAAATGAGCTATCTGTGCTGTGCCCGTCACGGGTATCGAAGCACAGTTTTTAACGTTATAAACCTTTAGACTTACCGCTGAACCAGTGGGGGGGGGGGATTGAATGGTTGGAACTTTAAATTTAAAACTGATTCGTAAGAAACTCAACTTTAAAACTCTGATTGGTTGAAAACTTAATTTAAAACCTTGACGGACAGTATGGCTTCATGAAATATATTGATTCGATATAATACCAACATTGATGCTATGTGTTTCCAATAGAACACAATCGTATGCTTTAGTAATTTACTTGATGGTATAATGAGTTCCTTGTATAGATTGTGTTTTTGTGACGTCATAGCCCCTTGTGGCGGATATACAAAGCTATTGAAGAAAATATAATTCTTTTGTTGAGGCCTGGCATGGGCTTGACTCGCAATCTGTGGGTCACTGGTTCGAACCCTACTTTGGCTCAGACTAACATAATTACAGTGAATTACCAAAGTAGAGATGAGATTTTTTAAGAAACTCAGTTTTTGTAGTTTTAACTTTCTTGTTTCAATACTTCTTATAGTATTAAAGTTTCTAAATTACTATAGCCAGCTAGGTTACCTACATATCGATCCCTACTTGTCTTTATAAATTTAAATTTTTTATTATACTTGTTTGTTTCGTTTTTATTAGCTATATTTTTGTGCGTCAGCAATATCAAGCGTGAGATGCTCGTATACCCGATTCGATATTATTACTCATCAGGATCTCTACCAACCTACCCTCAAATCTAATTATATATATATATGTCCAAAGTAGCGCATTGTCCATTTTATAGATATATACCTGTATCCTTTTCGGTACAAGAGAAGAATCATTGGGACCCCAGACGGAAGAGTTCTCTGAAAGAAATAGAGCGATAAGTTTCGTTTTTTTTTCTGTCCGTTTGTCTCGAAAAATTACTTACTCAGATGAGGCTCGGCATGGCCAGGTGGTTAGGGCGCTCGACTCGCAATCTGCGGGTTCGAATCCCCATCACATCAAACATACTCACCCTTTCAGTCGTGGGGGTGTTATGATGTGACGGTCAATCCCACTATTCGTTGGTAAAAGAGTAGCTCAAGAGTTGGCGGTGGGTGGCGATGACTAGTTGCCTTCCCTCTAGTCTTCCACTGTTAAATTAGGGACGGCTAGCGCAGATAGCCCTCGTGTAGCTTTGCGCGAAATTCATAACAAAGAAACAAATAATACTCAGATTAAAAATTTGTTGAAATAATGAAATTTTCATTCACTCCATAAACACGTATATAGCAATTTAGATTACTTTATATGTGCAATAAGCTTTAATTTTGATCAGCTAATACTGTGAAATAGTCATTGTTAATATTCAAACATTTTATGGGTGGTTTTAAAAGGAGGATTTGTATGACTGACATTTTGTTTCATCACGATCTCTACTATTAAATACTACCGTACGTAATGATAATTGTATATTGATGTTCGTAGAAGACAATGGATTGTTATAGTGAAAGCCAGTAGACGCTTGGGCAGATTCCTCTCAAAAAATCATTACCTTAAAGATGTTTGATGGCCATTACCTTAAAGGAGTTTGATGTAGAACCATGTGTAGCAGGACAACATAAACCATAGAACCATGTGCACAAGACAACATAAACCATATAACCATAGAACCATGTGTAGCAGGATGACATAAACCATTTTATGTTGTCCTGCTACACA